GTGGCATCTGGTGAAATGCTACACTTTGTATTATTATTATTATTATTATTATTATTATTATTATTATTATTTCTAAGGTAGTCTACAGGATAGAACTGATGTTTTTTAAAAAATGCCTTTTGTCCTGTACCTTTAATGTAGCAGAGGGAAACCTCACTACTCCAACTTTCCACCAGTCCTATTTGCATGCCAGAAAAAGTTTCTTTTATGACATAGCTGTGTGGCAGATAGCATTTAATATGCACTTTTTATAGTCAGATCTGTAAAAACTGACAATCAGAGAAAGAGATGGGGCATACAACTCTTGACATGGTATACCCACAGCAAAATAATTCATGGTATGGGCCAAGTAAAAGGGAAGATTTATCTCTCATTTTCATAAACTTGAGTTTGTCATCCAATGAAACTACTTAGTAGGAGACAGGCAAAAGAAAAGTAGTTCTTCATACAGCTCACAGCAAGACTATGGAATCTGTTGCCAGAAGATATGGTGATGGCCACTGAAGGGGAATAGATGAATTTAAAAAAACAGAATTAGAATCAATATAGGCCTAGGGTACAATCAACAATTAATTTTTAAGAAAACTATATATTACTGTATGGTCAGGATCTAGACATAATTTACTCTGCAGATGCAGTTCCTTTGGGGATAGGCAATAGTGACTGAACTAGAATTGCCAGTTTGTAGCCTGAGGATATTTCATTTCCCTTTGAAAGTTATGAGGTAGCAGAAGAAATTACAGTGGCTTTTGCTGGTTGGGAGCTCTAACCAAGAAGTCACTTATCCTCTTCCTTGGCTTACTGTGAAGCCGAACTGGAGCCTAGAGCAAAGTAGGTCAAAATAATGGACAAAGAAAGCAATATGTGTATGATCTCTAGCAGGCTTGCCATGTATAAAAGAAATACAATATTTCTGAATTGCAGCCAGCCATAGAATCTCTAGTCACCAAAACAACAAAGTCAAAGGTGGAACTTGTAGTGTCATGACTCATAACACAACATATCTTATCAGATGGAAGATTCTGGATCATACCCAGTGTCATAATGACTAGCAGCCTTACCCTGGTCCCTCCCAGTACGTAAATTGCAGGGTTGATTCATCATTTACCAGCACAGCCAATCCCAGATGAAATTATTCACATTTTGTTTCTGCTTCCCTCCCTCCCTTGTGTCATGTTCCAAAGCTCCAAGGTTAATCAGTTTTTTATGTTGGCGCCGTAATAAATTTGAAGGAACTAAGATGTATGGTTTAGATCTGCCCTTTTGCTGTCCCATTTTGGTTTAATATTTCTATTTTTATTAATATGGCATTGAGCAGTGAATTAAAGATGTGAAGGTAACACTAAATTATGTATCAATAATTTGGAATCTGTTGATCTGTGAAGGAACTTTGGGTATATCAGTTTTAGGGTATAGCAAAGAAAATAATGTACAGGTGGAAAGAAGCTACAGTGACAGATGTAAAATCTTGGACTGAAGAAAAATGTTCACTATCAGCCTTTGAAATGGCCCTGTAGAGATGCAGCAAAAGACTGATCAATATGACTCCATTTTGTTAAGTTTTACAGTAATACATTGTTCAAAAAAGACCCAGTTTCTGATGTAATTGTCTTTTATATAAATGCTGTGACTTGATTAAAAAAATTGTACTTAGACCAAATAGAATTTTTAAATAATCAATTAAGAATAAGAGAACTAACCCCTAACGCTAACCCCCACCCCCGACGCCAAAAGCTTATCAGGCCCAGATTGTGAAATAGCTCCTCACTATGGTCTATGAACTTTCCTTAAAATAAATACTTTCATTATGAACAAAATTAAATGGGAATGTGGAATTTAAGTCCTCTCTCTTTCTTCCTCTTCCTCTTAAAGAATGACTTTGGGTTCCATATACATCCCCCTTGGCATTCTTAGAAAATAGCGCCCAGTGATTTATTTGGAAGTGTGCCCACCTATGCCCACCTGTCCCCCACAAGGGAAATGTAAGCAGAGGTACAAGAGAACATCTATCCTGGGCACTAGAAGGAGTGGAAAGAACAAGTTCAACAGTTTGTTTTCTATTGAAAGGCTATTTTGTGATTGGGTGTGGCCAACATAATCACCATCTTGTGAGAGAGCTCACAATATGTTCTCAAAAGTCTGAATATATCCTCTAGTCTAAAACGTTTGGGGACCTTGAAGGCATAACTTCAAGACTTTGGGGACTTACAGAATGACTATTTCAGCTGTATTGTTGGCTTCAGTCTGGGATGGAGTTCTACATTAGCAAATGAAAAATGCAGTTAGATAACTCAGATTTTTCTCTCAACACTTGGAGGTGTGTTTCAGGGTGCAGAGGTTTTCTCTCTGGGAGTTGGCAGCCATTCTGTGGGCAGTTATTGCCTCATTTGTTTTACATATCTGTTTATTTAAATACTGCCATAATCTACAAGGGCTAAAAGCAAAATTAAAACCAAAACCAGTAGACAGACCAAATATATGGTGGGGGACTTCCAGGGAAGAAATGACAAACTGAAGATGGCTCCACAAAAAGTGGAGCTGATGACTTCAGTGGAACGAAGAGCCGGTAAGTAGACTGGCTCTTCAAAATCCTCTCTGGACAAGGAGAGGACTTGAAATTGTCCACAAGGGCTCCAGACAGCTGCTCCTTGTGAGGAAACAGCAAGACAGCAGTCTCCGGCAGGTTTAGAGCTCTGGGAGACGGGGGAATAGCCATCTTGCTCAAACTGTGGTCAGCACCTTTGAAAGGACACTGGGTTCACATACTTCCTTTTCTAATCACTTTTGGAAATTGCTTATTAACTGCTTTTCAGCTATTAGGAACCTTTGGATTGACACATTTTACAGCAAGCACCAGGTGAGTTTCCTTCAATCCATAGAGAAATAAGTTTTAACTACAAGTTTAAGAAGTTAAAAAATTTTTTTTGGAATAAACAGCAAAAGGGTGATTAAAACTTTGTTTTTAGAAAGTTACAAATGGACTAAGGGTTCAGATAAATTTGAAATAAGATTTTGGAATTACAGTGGTACCTCTAGTTACGAACTTAATCCGTTCCGTGACTCTGGTTGCAACTCG